GTACATATGACCTATAGCAAAAAATCAAAGTACATAAATAAAAACAAACATAGAGGGACCAGCAGTTAGTGTAATGGCTATGTTTTGGACTCCCATGTAGTCGACTGTGGTTCGCATCCTGGACCCGGTGGCTTAAAACTCAAACGGGGTGTGTGTGCATGCGTGCCCAAGATCTCGAGAGGAGAATGGAGGAGAAGGGATTGGGGCATAGCCATCCCCCCGGGGGGGGGTGATTTCACGCTTTCTGTCTCTCTGTCTCTCTCTGTCTGGTGAGTGCATGCACCCTATGGCAAAAACCTCTCAAAAAACAAACAAAAAAACATAGACTTGGCATATGATCCAGGAATTCTACTTATAGATATACCACAATTTGAAAGTATTAACTCAGGTAGGTCCTTGGGCACTGATATTCATAGAAGCATTATTTACAATAGCCAAAACAACCTAAATGCTGATCATAGATAGGAAAAGGGAATGAGATCCTGACACATGCTCCAACATGGGTGGGCCTTGAAACATCTCTGCTAAGTGAAGTAAGCCAGACACGAAAGGCCACATGCTGGGTGACTCCATTCACGGTTCCTACAATAGGCACGTTTCCAGAGAAAAAAGAGTCAAGGTTAGGAGGGACTGGAGAGGAGGAGAGAATGGGGGTTGTTGCTTCTTGGCTACAGTGTCTGTCTGGGAGGATGAGAAGGTTTTGTGACTAGATGGTGGGGTGGTTAGACATGAGGCGAATGTGCTAAATGCCACCAAATTGAACACTTAAAAATAGCAAAACTGGTAAATTTCAGTTTTAAAATATGTTTTACCACAATTAAAAGAAAAGATTCAGTATAGAGCCATCCTAAAATGATTTAGGAAGGTCTTTAAGGAGCAGTACCTGCAGTTCTACATCACCTTTTTAAAGGCAAAAGACCTTTCCCCAAATCCTTCCTTTTCAATGCTTAGATAGAGCTTGCCACTAACCGCCTGAAGACTTCCAGGGACCTGGAAGTCACACAGCTATTTCTGGCAAAACTGAAAATGTGCAGTTCTTGGCAAGTTCAGGAAGAACCACGTAGATAAGGCCACCCGAAGTAACCAGGATCAGCTGCAGTCTGATTTTCAGACCATGCTGTCAAGCACATCAAACCAAAATCTTTCAGCAAATGTCTAAGAGTTAACATATGTGAAAACCAAGTCCCTCTGCTGGCCCAGCTCTCCAGTAGCTGGGAGTTCCAGAGAGACTCTGTAAATGGCCCAACACCCAAAGTCCAACAGAGAAATGGTCGAGCATGACTGCACGGGTTCAAGACTGGAGAATGGAAAGATGCTGGAAAGTGAGCCGAGGTTAACCTTGAGGACTGAAGCTTGGGCTAGATAGAAAAAGGATCTTCAAAAAGTTACTGGAAAGGGCTTATTACAAACAACTGCATGGATTTCAAAATCATTTTGCAACCAAAAAGCCTCACACTTTCATTTTCCCCCAACTTTTTCAAGTCCACTTGTAGAATTCTCTTCCTATTTAAATACTTACAAAGTAAGCCACAAGTTCATATGTTCGAATACGTTGAACGATGAAGTCCTTTCAGCACTGCGTGCTCACAGGAGCACAGCCTGAACCCTAAGGCAAGCTCTTTTTGAGCTTCGGAGACTCAACACATTCTGCATTGCAAGATTGTCTCACAGGGGGAAAAAATGTAGCAGTGTCCCAACAAGGATCTACTTAAAACTATTCTACAAAAAGTGATACAACACCAACTTTGACATTCTGTTTTGAAGCAAAGTTGTTATACAAGCACTAGGGCCAGATTACATTCCTGCGGTCATGTGTGGCCCAAGCCTTGCCTTTTTCCTAGAAGCCCATGAATACTTTGAAATTATGCAAAATTGTGTATTTTTTTCTGGAGAGAAGAGCCATAATAGTCCATTAGATTCTGACAAGGTTGTGCATAAATGTAGAGAGCTGGTGTAGATTCCTAGACCTAACTTCCACGATCATAAGCTGGCTCCTGCTGAGGAAGTGCAATTAAAAACAATCGCCCGGCCCAGAAATCCTTGCCACAAAGGTACTACTAAAGAAAGAAAATACTTTTTTCTTTTTAATTGAGTAAGTATTAAACCAGAATGTCACATACTTCACAGACAATGTGCTCAAGGGTCAAAAAGACAGACAGTTTTCCACTTAGTCTGCCAGGCAGATGAGGCTATTACAGACAGGTTGCCAAAATGAACAGTAGCTAGGCTTCCAAAGATGATCGCATTCTCCCCACAGAGCTCATCCTAACTTTGCCTCATACTTGAGGTGACCCCCTGTTTAAGTTAACTGGCTTTCTCCAAAGGAAAAATGAACTTCTCACATCTTATGACAGGGCATCGTTTTGCGAGTTGGAGCTAGGTGCCTGCTGTACTTAGGCTTTTATCCTTCCACAGAAATCGGGAGCTGGGGATATCTCCCTTGACATTTACATTTTGAAGAGACAGCTTCCAAATTGACTTTGCTAGATGTAAAGCAGGTAAAAAGCCTAGTCTTCAAAAGGGTCTATACACATTTAAAAGGCAGGAGGAAGTACTTACAGTAATTCCCACTTTGCAAAATACTCAGAAAAGGGAGAAAGTAAATTTTCTTATTTTCAACAGGAAAAATTAGCCTACTTCGAATGTGTATTTGTCCTTACCAATACAATTTTTTTTTTTAAAGACTTTCTTGCTATAGGGTGCGTGCGCTCGCCAGAAAGACAGAAACAGAGAGACAGAAAGTGCGAGAAATCACCCCCCCAGGGGGGATGGCCATGCCACAATCCCTTCTCCTCCATTCTCCTCTCAGGATCTTGGGCACACACGCACACATGCCCAGCGTGAGTTTAAGTCACCGGATACGGGACTCCAACTGCAGTCGACTACATGGGAGTCCAGTGACATAGCCATTACGCCAACTGCTGGCCCCTACAATGTGTTTTTAAGACAAGGCAGGGACAGCCTATAGTCTAGTGGATAAGGTAGCTGGTTCTCACATGGCCAGCCCCAATAGCACCTATGTTGTGTACCCCAAATTTTAACTATATAGATGAGGAAATGAAAAAAGGATTACAGTGTGGACTCAGCCCATCAGGTGGTGCTTCCGGCCTCTCTCTCACATGCTGTTTTTTACTGGTCACAGCAAGGCAGACCTGGCCTGGCAAACATTTAGCAGTGGCTGGGAGGGACAGGAAGGCAGGTCTTTCAAAGCAGGGTTTTACTTAGGATTGACTTTTTAATTTAACTTTTAAATTATTATTATTTTAATTTAAGCAGAGAGCAACAGAGAGAAGGAAAGTGAGAAAGCAAGCCACCAGGTAGAGGACTTGAGCCACATGGACCATGTGGGAGCCCAGTGCCTTTGCTATAGAGAGACAGAAAGCGAGAGCTCACCCCAAGGGGGATGGCCATGCTACAATCGCTTCTCCTCCGGTCTCTTCTTGGGACTAGGGCATGCATGCACATGTGTCTGGCATGATTTCAACCACCAGTTCCACACTGGAACTGCCCTCGACTACCTGGGAGTCCACTGATGCAACCATTGCACCATCTGCTGGTCCCTAGGATTGCCTTTGTGGACAGAAATTTGACTGCTTTTTCCTATTTTTCCAAGGTCCTTTCCAGAGGGCCTTAAAGGAGTCAGGCTCACAAACATGGAGAGACCATTTTGACCAATGGGTAACAGGGCTCTTCCTACACCCTGCCCCTGGCATAGTATTGGAGTATCTTTGTGATGCATATTAAGTCTCCTTATCGCTGTTATAGTACATTCCTTTCTGATCTCAGCAACCTTCCTTTCCCTAAAAGATGTAAAACCCACCTATAACCTCCCATCCTGCCTTTTTGGACTAGACCAATGGAAATTTTTTTTCCTAAATTCCAAACTGTTTCTTGCTCTGAAAATCAAATAAAAGGAACCCCTTTACCTGATCACCCTAGAAAAAGGTATGTTTTGCCTCCTCTCTGGCCTAGGGCACTCATTACTATAAACCGCATTATTTTTACAATTATTATAAACCACATTATTATTTTTACAGAGCTGGTTATTTTTTGTCCACACCTTTTAAAAAATGGTGGAAACAGCAAGACTTTGAGCCTAAGGGTTGCAAAAGATCTCGGGGTTTAGGATGCTATGCAGTGAAGAGAGGATGGGGCTCGGGAAGTTGCATAACGGACAGTCTACCGCCCACTGGGGCAGGAGCTCCTGGAGAGAAGTCCGCCACAAGAGCGTTAGGGTGAGCCGCGTCCTCCTGGGGATGCGGCGGGGGAAGCGCCGCCCCCGCGGGGCCACGGCCCGGCGCCCCCCTACAGCGGCCCCGCCCCCGCCATTGCCCCGGTACCCTCTTCGAGATCCTCGGTGATCGCACACCTGAGTATCTCACAGACAGCGGGGGACCACATGACTTTCGCAACTAGGTCCTACCCCTCCCCTGCCGCGGAAAACCCGGCACTGCCGCA